AGGGCCCCGGATCAACATGTCTTCACACAACGACGATTCGTCACAGATGTTATCAATGTACTAAAATCAAGACACAAGCAGGTCAAGCATTGACAGCTTCCATGAGTGATTGACGACAACGCATGTGACGATCGAAAAGTCGAAGTACTGGTTGATCCTAATCCGTAAAGGCAAGGGAAAGAAGATCATGATCATACACGAGCAAAGCTTCGTAGAAGACCAAGGCGTGGTTACCCCTGCAGCCCGCAGTTACTAGGACTAGGACCTTTGGCTCTTGAAGACCAACCACCTTTGCGCAATTCGTGCAAATTCCTTCGAGAAGGAATCGGCCGTGGCGACATCTCTGCAACTTAACCAAAGAGGATTCGGAATCTCGCAGATATTACCAAGGGGCCTGGACCCTGCTTTTGCGCGGAACGTCTCTGCATGTCTCTAACTAGAGACAGACCACAAGCTAGGATGGGGCCGAGTTGAGTCTGAGGTCCGCCAGATTTGGGCGAGTAGAAGTGGGCGGCGTGGTGGTGGCCACGAGGCAAGGCCGCATCAAGTTGAGGTGGGTTCCTCTTCGGTTAACTGGACTGGATCCGCAGTGACTTTTCCTGGTCTCTGGGCTGAAAGCACAGCCTCTGTCTCCACCACAGAGTCGTGACCAGCGAGTTGTCGGCAGATCTCTGTGGGGGAGTAGAGACTGGTTGTTGAAATTCACTCTTGCTGGTTCCCCAGTTCTCCTGTTGGTGGCTACATGGGTCGGCGAGCGATAGTCCAGCTGCATCCGATGGCCAAGCCCCCTGGATGGCCAAAAATCCAGAGAAGGGTGTTGGGTTGACTTCCCGGGAGCACGCGATGACACCCTCAGCAAAAAGGAAAGAAAGATGGCACTGAAAACACGCTTTTCTATGTTGATCACTTGCCTTGGGTACCATGTGAACTCTGACCATCCATCAGAACGCTCGGGTCTGGTGTCCTGTACCACGTTATCTTGTCCAGAGCCCCCAGCATCATCAGATGGACAACCTGCATGTGTGAGTGCATGTCCGATCAACCAGTCAGGGGACAGGTGGCGGATACAACTGACCGACCTGTTTGGTGGTGGGCACAGAGGGTACAGAATACATTGAGTGAAAGGGAGGGAAGGAAGGAGGAGGAGGGAGGAGGGGCTCTCGGGGCGTCGCTAATTTAGTTGGACCTTGGCACTGATAGGGGCATGGCCAGCCTATCGATAACGCCGATAAGCCAAATCTGACCTTTTTTTCCGTGCCCCCCAAGCAGTCTCAGGCGGTTGAGCCCCTCGTCGGTCGGTCGTCCATCGGACCTGGCTCGTCTGACTCCGTCGCTGGGCTGTTTTGCCTTTGGCCATACTTTGTGCCCGTTTGGCTCTGCCTACTCTCAGCTTCACCACCTTTTTGCCCCCCCTTGGGTGGCCTTCATCCCCCTTAGCTGCCCGTCAGTCGTATCGCCTGATGGCCTGGCAACATGACACCCACTTCGCTACCACTAGAGAGGTATCCATGCGACCATCAGCTGTGCTTGTATGTAGGTCCGCGTCCGTGTCCATCACCAGCATCTATTGCGTGTCTCCTTGTCCCCTTGTCTCGGCTCGGCCTCTGAAAATCCTGCTTGATCTTCCTGTCATGCCCCTCCAATCCCCATCTTGTTGACGCTCTCCTTTCCTGCCCAGTCGCCTGACCTCACTGTCGTCGCTCAGTCTTGCAAATGGACTGATTGCTTCTCTGCTTGAAAACTTTCGCTTTCGTTTCCCTACGCCTCTTCCTCACGGCTCCGAGAGCGGTTGCTGGCTAACTCGACCCTGCTGCCACTGCTGGCGAAAGAAATCCTTTGTCGAGGGGCGTGAAGGGGGTTTCCTCTCCCTCGCCTGGCCTGCTTGATTCGATCGACAGTCCATACTGCAACGAAACACCGGTCGAAGCTGCTTCGCAGTTGGTCCTGCATATCAGCCTCTACTTCTGAATTGCTGGTGCCGAGCCTGCCCGGTATACATCATGGACCAGCAGTCACTCCCCCCAGCCATGCTCAGCACCACTATCTCCTCTTCTCAGCCTCGACAGCTTGATTCCCCAAGGCCAATGACTCCTGCAAGTCCGCTTATGGAGGCTCAGACGCCCTTTGACCAGCCGCTCAAGCTTAAAGGTCGACACAGATTACTTCAAGGCTTGCAGCGCATGTCTTCTTCTCCGTCACTTGCCAAGCTGGGTAGAACTCGCTCGAGTGAGAGGGTCTACAAATCCGGCCAAAAAGCCTCCATCTCCTGCGTCTCTCTCAATTCACCGCCCTCGACATACTCGTTATCACCTCACGCTTCCTACGCCCTGTCCAATGGCTTCTCTACGGCGCCAACCACGCCGGGTTCGCCCTGCAGCCAGCAGTCCTACTTCGAAACAAACTCCCGACTGCGACCATTGGACCCCAATGAGATAACCACCGTCCCTGTCCCAATCGATATCCGCACCTCCAAACCCCTCTCTGCTCCACTTCCGGAGATCTCAGAGAAGCCGCTTCCTCGACGACCCAATTTCAACTTTTGGAAAGACCTGCCGTATGAGATACGAGTCTATATTCTGGGCTTTTTGTCGCCCAAGGAGATCATCAGATTCTCGGCAGTGTCAAAAGAGTGGCATGATATGTGCTTTGATGGCCAATTATGGACGAGCCTCGACTGCCAGACATACTACCAACAGATTACCTCGGAAGCTCTGATTAAGATCATGCTCAAGGCTGGTGCCTTTGTCAAGAACCTCAACCTCAGAGGATGTGTGCAGCTGCGGGATCAGTGGCTGAGCCTCGGGACGAGAATGACGAACCAAGAGTGCCGGAACCTAGAGAACTTCAGCATTGAAGGCTGCAAAATTGAGCGATCGTCCATCCACTTCTTCCTCCTCCGGAACCCGAGACTGCTCCAGATCAATATGCCCAGCATGCAGAACATCAACAATGCAACCATGAAAATCATTGCCAGCCATTGCCCACAGCTCGAGCTGCTGAACATCGACTGGTGCTCCCAAATCGATACAAAAGGGCTCAAAAAGGTCATCCAGTCGTGTCCAAACCTCACCGACCTGCGTGCTAGCGAGGTTCGAGGATTGGATGACAACGAGTTTATGCTCGAATTGTTCCAGCGTAATACCCTGGAGAGACTAATCCTCCAGCATTGTGACAGCTTGACGGATGAGGCTCTGGAGATCATGATCCACGGCACCGACCCTGAACGAGATGTCCTCACTGACCGACCTGTCGTCCCTCCCAGGCGATTGCGACATTTGGATATTTCAAGGTGTCGAAGTCTGACCGACCGAGGCGTCAAAGCCCTTGCATACAATGTGCCTCATCTGGAGGGTCTCCGAACGTGCCAGAACACTGCTTTGACTGATGCTGCCTTCGAAGATCTCCTACAGTCAACGCACCGCCTGACTCACTTGGAGGTGGAAGAAGTTGATCTTCTGACGAATGCAACACTTATCAATCTTTCCAAGTCGAAAGCTGCAAAGACTATGGAACATCTGAGCATTTCCTACTGTGAGCAAGTAGGAGACATTGGAGTGCTCCCCCTTCTCAAGGCCAGCCCGCAAATCAAGTCTCTGTGTTTGGATAACACCAGAATCTCTGACTTGGTGCTCATGGAAGCCTCTGAGCAAGTCCGAAAACGCGGCAGCACGACAAAGAAGTCGCAACGGCCCAAGAAAGGGCTAGAACTTGTTGCATTTGACTGTGCCAATGTCACGTGGGCCGGCGTCCGCGAGATTCTGCAGGGAAATGGCCGCGTCATGCAGGGTCGGAAAAAGTCCGTGGTCCAGACTTTCAATGTCGAGGATGAGTTTGGTGAAAAGCAGGAGACCCGGAAAGTTGTTGAGATTCAAACCCTGCTTTACCCTACCGAAGTCATCCATCTGAAGGCATTCTATGGTTGGCAGCAAACCGTAGAGGAGCATTATAAACGTTGCGTCACCGGCCGCTGGGGCGCAGCTGCCAGGCTGGAACAAAAATGGGCCGAGTGGATGGTCGCCAGCGAAGAGGTTGGTGTCATCGGTCATGGCTGGAGCTCGAGGCGTCGTAGACGGCGGGCTCGTGAGGCTGAATACCGTGTCAGAGACGACGAAGACGGTGCCGCTCAAGATACCGGGACAGGAGATGAAGATGGCAGTGGTTTGGAGTACGCGGCCGGACGACCCCCGAGAGGAGGCCGGCGGCGCGCAAGGAGTGGTGGTTGTGTGGTCATGTGAGCTGTGTCGCCTCTGCGAGTTCGATCTGTTTTTTTTGTTGATTTCTTTGGCACCGGCGACGTGCTGATTGAGGCTCGAATCGGAGAAAGGGGGGATGGCCGGTCTGAACTGACTGCAACTGCTTGGAGTTTGGGTATTTTGGAGGTTCCATCATGGAGAGGTACTGGCGCCTCTTGGTCCATGGTTATATTCTAGCGTTTGTCATCATTGAGCTGTTTTATAGTGTTTGTTATGGTATGACTGCTGTGCACTCTGTGGCAACAGTCAGGGCAGAAAATCGGACGACATCCCGCATCAATCGTGTCCAGCTTGTTTACTCGGTATGTGTGGGTCGATTGATATTCGATGTCTACAAGAAATGTCCAGTTGGTGGTTGCCAATTCCGCTGCTCCGGTCCATCCATCTTGTCTAATCGGGAACATGGCGAGTTGTAAGGCTTTGCTCAGTCAAGTCTTAATTGAAAAGCTGTCTACTGTGCCTGTTATGAGTAGTTCCCTTACTCACTCCCATGATACCAACTCTGTTATCCACGTCGACGGGGAAAGCAGCAAGCTCGGAGACTTGTCCCTACAGCAGTAAGCCCTGTGGGCGCAATCTGGGGGAGGAAAGGGCCGAGGACCATTCCGCGCCAGCAAACAAGCACACGAGTGACCAATTTCCGGCCCAATAGCGCAACATATCCAACCACTATCCTTCCAGGCAGAGAACTGAGGAAGTCGAGAAGGGGAAGAGAAAGGGCAAGAGAGGCTGGGGGGGGGGCCTTCATTATCGCTGCTGCTGTTCCTGTTCCTGTTCCTCCTCCTGTCGTCGTTGCCGTTGCCGTTGCGCCTGCCAGTACTGCTCCCGGACTTCCATCATCCTCTTAGTCTGCTCCCCTGAGCGACGGAAGAGAAATCGGTCCCACACACCATGGCCGTCTTTGAGAGCGCCAGCGGGTCCGGTGACTTTGTCCCCCCAGTCTCGCGCAAAGAAATCCAGCAACTTCTTCTCCAGGTCCTTTGGGCCTGAGAAGAACCCCAGCTCCATCCACGTCTCCCTGCCGTCCGGCTCGAGTTGGTCCGGGTCGTTAACCTCCCAGAACCAGAGTCCGGGAGGTTGTGTGATGGGCTTTCCGGCCGAATCGCGCCTCACACGCAGTCGTGGGACCACCAGCTCATGCCCGTTGACGAAGATGGGCTCCTTTCCGTTGCTGGTGACGATGGCTGAGTGGTAATCGAGCTCATCTCCCTCCCGGACAAAGAAGCCCTCCTGGCGGCTTGCCATATAGGTGAACTTCCACACACTGGCTCTGGCGGGCCTATCGACAATCACAACATTAGCGATGGATTTCACCAAGAGTGCAAAGTAAGTGAGCTGATTGTTGGGAGGCAAGGTAGTGCAGGTGCAACATTGAGAAGGTTACGCTTGTCCACGGCGTGTATATTCAGGTTCCGTTGAGGACGGCGTTGGAGAAACTTAACCGGGTTGTGAAGGGAGAGCAGAGCACCGACCAGCAACAGCGTTCTTTAATGTGATTTTTGTCATCTTATTGTCCGCTGTCCCGAGCAAAGTGATTTTTCAAAGACCTTCAATGTGGGGGGTGGGCAATGTACAGGGATCGGGATTGAGAGGACGGTTGTTGCAGAGTGTAGGTGATGCGGAAGAAGCATTGTGAAGCTTCACGATGGAGTAGGTGCAGTCTGTAGGACGTTTTAACAGCCTGTCGTTAATCTGGACGTCCGTGGACATGGAATACGCCGTCATCCTCCGTCATATTGTTTGGAAGCATGTCCAAAACAGTGGTGCTGATGAGGCGAACAAATAAGAATAGGCACTTACAAGGAGCGAGTCATCTCTTGAAATAGGAAAAGTGTGATATCTTTCTGTGGCGGTGGTGGTGGCTGTTTTAAAGCGGCGGCCCCGATGGCGGTGCGGGAGTCGAGGACAAATTTAAATTAGCGAGATATTTTGGACACTGTTTTATGCACACAATTAATACCAAGGCCATGCATAAACTTATGCCAAGGCCATGCCCTTGTTGGGCATCGTGGCTGTCAGGCTTACAGTTTCCATGGAGTTAGCTTTGCTCGTTATTGTCTCTGATTTTCTCCTATTGTCACAGACTATACTCTACACATATGACAGTTTACCGTATTTACTGAAGCCTCCAATCAAACCAGAACGTACAGGCTACACATGGTGCTCAATCCCAGAATCATGCTGCCCCAAAATGCTGCGTTATTGAGCACCCATCGACCTCGAACTAACTTGCTCCTCTGCAGTGCTACTATCGGCAGTTGCAGCATCATTGCGAAGAAGCCATATCCACGCAATTTCTTCGTGATGCAGCCCATGATCAGCTCATGACCGAGGGCGCTAACAAGGAAGGTGATTGTCATAGCAACTGGAGTCGAGAAGTACGTCTTGGATGAGAAGAAGACGTGTCGGCGCAGGAAATGGTAGACTGGAATGTTCCACTCGCGGCTGAACTCGAGCCAGTCGCTGGAATTCCACCAGTCCGAGTAGAAATGGCGGTCGGCAAAACAGGTAATCTCTGCGAACGCACCCAGGATGTACTCCCAGATTACCAGGAAGACGAGCAGGAAGGTGATCATAAATGGGAACAGCATCATGCTGGTGGTCTCCGCCAAAATCAATGCCTTTTCCGAGAGAGATGTCGTCAGACGCAGCTGCGTCGCTGATTCGACCAGGACTGGCATGATGAATTCCTCGCTGACTGTGATCATCAAGAAGATGCAGCCGAACACGGCGAGAGTTTTGTAGAAGAGGCTATCCCATCGAATTTTGGGTGTCCTCGGGTATTCGAGCTCGTAGCAAAGAGTAGGACATAGGACGTAGTCAATGTAATTGTACAGTGTTAGATTTTGAGGGTATGTGACTTGTCCAAGAGGAGAAGTTAACTCGGTGGCCAAATCTTGCCGGAGCTGAGCCAAATCTTGCTCGTCTTCTTTCTCTTCGTCGGAACTCTCTAAGTCCATTTGGCGCAAGCGAGAGGGAGAGCCGGGATATTTGACGGCCTTGCCCCGGTCTGCCGTTTCGGGCTTGTCGAGGTCTCGAAGTCGTCGCTCGGTCTCGCTCAGATGTCCATTGTAGAATGCGTAGGAATGCATCTTCATAAGGAAGGTTAGGGTGTGAAGAGCGAAGAAGACTTGCGAAGTCCAGGTCCAGCTCAGCAAGAATGGCCAGCTCACCCATAAAGCCAACCACAGTGCTTGAAACACGCTCTGTATCCAAATCCCAGCTCTTCGCCATCGCAGGACACCCTTCGCTCCCCGTGACCATTTTTGGATGGGCAAGCTCAGCACAGTGCTTGCCACCATGGCCGCGTCACTTAATCCCAGAGAAACGACATTCCTGGACAACAAGGCATATACTTCGACCCGCAATGGGTGGCCCGTCTCTTTGATGTTTCTTAAACACGTCGTGATGACCATGATGGCCAGACCGATCCAGAAGAGGACAAAGAAACCACGAAAGTCGCGGTATTCGCTCCGAGCATCAAAATAGGAGACGCGAGACACGTAATCGATCGTATAGAACATACGATGCTTCGCTTGGGCACGGGCAGCTTTTCGCGCCGTGGAAAGGGAGTGTACTGAAGGCGGCGCATCCTGAGGGATTGGCGTGGAGCGGCCGCTGAGATGTCATTGTCAGCGTCGCAATGCCAGGCATAGAATGGAAGGAGAGCATGCCTTGAGATACTCGAAGAGACATCGGCAAAGCCGTTCAGTCCCTGGCCTGAAGCACGCAGGGTTTCGGGCAATGCCCTCGTGGGTCGCGGACGTAGGAGGTTTCGCTCTTGACTGCTGGAGCGAGGAAGTGCCATGGTGGGGTATCACCCCCCTCCCAAAAAAAAGAAAAGAGAAAGGAGATATTATCACAAATGTTACAGAACAATGTGCATGGCAGAAAAGCAGGCATCCATGATTCCGGACGCGAAAACAAAATTCTGGACGTGCTGGGGTACTAAATGCAAGATTGGATTCTCGGGCTCCCTGAATCCGAAAGCTCACAGTGAGCTTGGATTATCGGATTGTCCTAAACTCTACCCAAAATGGATCAATCAGCACGACCATTCCCCGAATTCATCGCCCTCTAGACGTCAGCCTCGGCTTCCGTTGATGTCAGACGCGCCGATTGGGTCATCGTCGCCAGCATCTGATTCTTGGGTTGTGTCGCCCGTTGGCCCTCTCATGACATTGCGACCCCAGAATCGACTCCGCGGTGATCCTACTGGGTGGTGCGGGGTTTGTATGGATGAGATGTAGATACAAGATATCGTAACGTCTTGCGAGATACGCCCACCATCATGATATGAACCCTACAAATAGTCGAACGCACACTGATCGTCCACCAGACTCTACCACTGCGGGACCGCCTTAGGTCCAGCACCATCACAGGCAAGGCGACAAAAAGCTTCTTCGGCTGCAATCTCTTGGTTGTCGTCGTCCCTCCGGGCTGGGTAGATCTTTCGGCCTGCGTTTTGCTCCTCCTCCATGTGTTTATGCAGGACCTCTCTCACAAGATTCTTGAAGTAGATGACGCCTTTTTCGTTGTGAGGGTGAAGTGGTCCCTTGACATATGTGTCCATATTGAGGTTGCGCTGCAGGGCGTTGCAGAGATCGAGATCTTCCTTTTCGACTTGTTTGAAGAAGGGATTCATCGTTTCAAAGTCTTGGTCAGAGCACGACTTGTGCCGATAGACCTCGTATTCCAGCTTCAGTGAGGTTGCGGATTTTGGTGCGAATCGAGTGAGATATGTTATTCCATCGCTTTTCCTTTGTTAGGAAGTACAATGAATGCAACCATTACATCAATGGCACTTACGATATCAATATGGCCGCATTAGGGAAGAAGTATGTTGGTTGCACTCCGTACTTGTGTTCAACACTCTCCAACGGCTCCGAATAGTGCTCAATCCACCCTTTGATGCCCTTGATGTCGTAAGTATCGAGTTTGGTCGTCGCCAAGATGCCAGGATGTGCAGTTGTGCAGTGGTAACACTGAGCACGTCGTCAGCTTCAGACTGTTCACTGGCGGATCTTGAATACCTCGTTATAATTGTCCACCATTGCCTTCCAGTTGTACTCTCCCTCCATCTCCCAAGCATGGTCAAATTTGAAGTCGTCCATGGTAAAATCTTTCTGGCGTGGCTGCTCATCAACTCTCTCAAAATGGTCTTCCCAAGGGATCGTAGGGGGGTCGGCAGCGTCGAGATTGACCCAGACGAAGCCCAGTCTGTCAACTCGCACATGGACACTGTACAATGAATATTTCGACTTGTCAAAATTCTCCACTGTTTCGAAACGCGGTGCCTTCGCGAGATTGCCAGAGAGGCCATAAGACCATCCTGACAGGCGTCAATCAAAAGTGAAGAGAAGGAAGGAGGATGTGCCTTGTGCCAGCACCGCCGTATTACCATGATACTTGCATGCAAGAATACTAATTTTCCCACCCTGGCCACTTTCCTTCTCAATGACGGGATACGCTCTATGCCGACAAATATTCAAGAAGGCCCTCAGCTCATTCTGTCGATCCCGGATAACGAAGAACTTGTAGCCGGCAATCTCAAAATTCACAAACTCTCCGATCTCTCTGAATCGAAGAGAATGTGAGACGCAGAGCCACCATTTGGAGAAGATTGCACGTTTTTCAAGTTCATACATTCCCTCTTCGCGGTACCAGGATGCTGGGAGAGTGTTGATTGTTGGTCCATAAGTGATTGTGCCATTAGTCGTGCTATTCTTCTTGAAGCTGGCCATTGTTTTCCGATAATGAGACTGCGAAGCAGTGAAGAGTTCGTGAAGTCACCGTTTAATGCTCAAGATCAATCAGGGTAAATAGATTCTGCCCCGCAAGACCACATGGTATTTAGATATAGAATACCACACTTGGACATCTGCTGAGGGAAGCAGAAGGGGCTACCGAGCCTCTTGAGCACTTCATATGATGGCTCGTTAGCTAGCCACAAGTTGATATCGGCTTGAATTGATAGGCGAGTAGGAGCATCCAAGCTTCTCGGCTCGAGCTATGTTGTGGTTGACGTTGGACCTTTGTCAAGGATGTTCGCAATTTTGCTTCGAATTGAGTAAGGCGTCTGGAGTGTGGCCAATGAGAGATGACATGATTATCCCGCCTAGCTGGAGTAGTTGCAGGCGAGCAGGTTTTGCATCCGCCGGACTTCGATGCCGCAAACTAACATACAAGCGGTGTACGTGGTGCAAATCACCTTTGTTCATGTCTATTAGAAGTCCTGTGCAAAGCAAGCAGAGAGCTCGGTCCCCACTCTAGATTCTCTCCAGCTTGTCGAATCGCTATCGGCTTTCGAGGCGTTTTGTGTTGTCGGTGTGGATTCGCGTTGGTGGACTTTGAGCCAGGCAAAAAAGTCACCTCTCGACGTATTTGTCTCCCCGAATGTTGAGGCCTTTGTCTAAGAATGGTTTGATCCCAGGAAGAGCTTCGGGATCATGGCCAATGTTCTCTCCTGCTTGAAATGCTGTCTGCAAATGTTCGGCATGTTTTCCACCTTCAGGGTAAGAGCAGTCATCGAGGATCGTGATTCTGAGAGGTTCGAACCCGCAGTAGCCGAAGATACCATATCGCCATAGATGATGAATTTGCTTGTCATAGCCCCATCTGTCAAGTTGTCGGGAGGTTGCGCCAGCCAGGGCGAAGACTGTGCAAGGCCGATGGCTCAGCAGGCTACCTTCAGGGTCGCGCTCCGACTTGTAGCACCAGCCAGCAGACCAGACTCTGTCCAGCCATCCCTTCATCATGGCAGGCATTTGGTACCACCAGATTGGGAAAATGAGAAAAACCGCGTCCGATTCTTCCACAAAACGTTGTTGCTCAAGCACATCCTCAGGCATCGGCACACCCTCAAATTGCTCCCAGTCGCGCGAAGTGAAGACCGGGTTGAAACCATCTCGATACAAATCAATGATCTTCACCGTATGGCCTTTGCTCTGTGCTCCCTTAATAACCTGATCGGCAATAGCATGAGTGAAGGACTCCTGGTTGGGATGACAAAGGACAAGGAGGATGTGCATCGTGACGCTCACGATCACAGATTCGATCTGCGTAAATGCATGCGCACCCGGACGTAGGAATAAAGGTGTTGTGATCAACAAAGGAACAAGAAAACGGACAGGTCTCTCACAGTAAGGGTAGTCGAAAGGGGACATTTAGTGCCAATTTTTCATGCGGAGTAATCCGTGACTGATGCCTAGCCTGGGTAATACCGAAGTTGCATGTCCAGAATCAGATCATCACGAACTGCCAGTTGTTTTTGATCAACAAATCCACCCAAAAGACATCTAATCCTTGGTCCATGAACCGCCAGGTCTCTAGGACCAAGGACTTCATATGCCGGATTGTACTGAAGGGTAGGATAGCTTGGATTCGTTCAAACCGGGCGATGACTATGGATCTTGCTTCCGTCACTGTCAATCGGTGATGCGAGTCGGATAACTTTTGACACTGCGTAATTGCAGGCAGCTGAGAGCATATGTCACATTGAATCTCGCTCTCACTGCCACAAGGATTGATCATGTTCTGCGAAAGTTCGCCGGATATGATCAGAAGCAAAATTGCTTCGATGGTCCGAGTGCCGGAGCTTTTCGAGTTCTGCTCCAACACCTGTAAAACGTGAATTGCTAATGATACTAGAAACTCCGAGTTTGTTTTGTGATTCCGAGCGAATGATGTTCTCATGCCGTGCGAAGCATGGTTAGCCATTTTGACCTCAAGGAGGTTGGGGTAAGTATGATAGAGTAGTAAAAGGCCGCACAGTCGATATGCTTGCGCAATGTTGATCAGGTCATGGACAGAGGTATGAGGATCTTCCGGATCTAAGACCATATTTGGTCTGGGAAGTTCCAAAGAAATCAGTTGAGACTCAAGTTCTCGAGGTCGCACATCGTCAGAGAGCGTGCAAGGGAGCAAACCTGCGGTAGTTGCTGGTTGCTGAAGGGCCATCCTACGCTGAGATAGGACGAGACGGCCGACCATGCCCAGAAGAAGTTGAGATTCTGGCGATACACCAGTAAGCGGGTGCGGGATTCGGAGCTCTAGCGCCTCCCGAGGACAAATTGGTGGTGGATTCTGGATTTTGTGAGAGCCCGGATTGTAAGCAAATGATAGCATCATCCACCAGTATACCAAGAATTCGGCAAAGAATTGAGCGGTTCTCGGGGCAACATTGGATGTCTGCAGCTGCAGTTCCGGTAGGAGAGCGGTAGCAGCATTGTAGTGTTCTAATCCGAGGTCATTCAAGTCGTACCAACTACTGCTGAGGCCAAACATGCAGACAACAAAGAGGACTTCAGTCTTTCGAATTGGAACGGAGGTGCTGGTAGGAAGGAGATTGGAAGACAATTGACCTAGAACTTCAATTCGTGCCTGATTCACCGCCACATCAAGACGGCAGTCTGCATCGAGGCTCGATCGGTAGATACCAACAAAATATCTGAATACCGAGAAGAGGAGTGGTGACCGCCTCCACGTGGACATTGCCGCAGCACGGAAAGGGCTGTGGCGACCATCATAGATAGACAGCACCCGGGATAAAATTCTCGTATAACAATTGACGAGCAAAGTGGAATCTTGAAAGGTTGATAACGATCGTCGATAGACAGATGATGTGACTAGATCATTTGAACGGAGCGCTTCTGGATTAAAAGTCTTTCCGGTCTCTTCTGCCGACAGTGGCGTGAGCATAACGTCGTAGTCCACTGGACCTGTTCGTAGATCAAAAGAAGAGCTTCCATCGCCAGACTGGAGGCTGATGAGAGGGGCATACGAACTCTCGTGGCAAGATTCGTTTAGAGGGAGACTAGATTTGGAGGCTGTTACCGGAACAGGCGAATTTGGCCTCGTGGTTTTCTCGTATTTAAGGGACCAGCGGAGAGGCCTTTGATAGCCAGGGCATAGCCAACCTCGGTTGATGCCTGAATTCAATTAGATCGCTGCTTCTCTGTTTCGTCGTGCTTGAAAGCATACATCTGGAGCAGGCCGGCTTTCTTTCGTCGCATTTGACATGTGCCTTCCGGCAGGCGGCACATCCTCCACGAGAATATTTGGACATACTCAGGCATTATGGGCGAGCTGACAGACATTAAATCCATTCATGCCAAGTTGTCTGCACGTCTTGAAGCCAGCAGCGGAAACATGGCGAGATGGTGAGGAGGCGAGGAGGACAGAACTCGCGGCTCTTGGCGTGGCATTGTCCCCGATTGGCTGCTGTTGAAGGACACTTCTGCGGATGCAGCGAGTGGTTCCTAAGCGGATATTCAGACACCAGAATCCTCAACGATCACAGACATTTTAGGGCATCCGTCATCCTTGCTCGCCTGCAAAGCCTATGGTCTATCCCAAACCAGCGCATGGTAGAGCCAAATCCATGAAAGAGTGAACAGACTTGGACGACCCCGAATTTGGGTCAGTGTGAACCATCATGACCTCCCGTCAGTCACCCTATGAACTGTCTGCACTGCTCGAGACCTACTGACAGGTGATGAAGTCAAGCAATTCATCCGCAATGTGCGGGCCTCCAAGACCATCGCAGATGAGCGTGCTGTCGTCCAGAAAGAGAGTGCCGCGATCCGGGCTAGTTTTCGAGAAGAGAGCGGAGATTCGAACATTAGGTCTCGCATCACAATTGCTCTTTGAGAAGGGATATCTCTGACCTGAAGTAGGAGGAACAATGTCGCAAAGCTATTATACCTGTTCACCCTGGGAGAACGCACGCATTTCGGCCAGATAGAATGCCTTAAACTATTGGCCTCTCCGCGGTTTGCGGACAAACGACTGGGCTATTTGGGGACTATGCTGCTGCTGGACGAGAATCAGGAAGTCCTCACATTGGTGACGAACTCATTGAAGAAGTACGTATGCACTCTGCCAGCTCCTCCAAGACCCTTACTGATCATGCACAGCGATCTCAACCATTCTAACCAATATGTCGTCGGCCTCGCTCTCTGTACCTTAGGCAACATTGCCTCCGTCGAAATGTCCAGAGACTTGTTCCCCGAAGTCGAGACCCTCATATCCACCGCGAACCCCTACATACGTCGAAAGGCTGCGCTCTGCGCCATGCGGATATGCCGGAAAGTCCCAGATCTTCAAGAACATTTCCTCGAAAAAGCCAAACTTCTGCTACAGGATAGGAATCACGGAGTCCTCCTCTGTGGATTGACCCTGATAACGAGCATGTGTGAGGCAGATGAAGCAGAAGGGGGTGAAGAGGGCGTGGTCGAAATGTTCCGACCAGTTGTTCCACACTTGGTCCGCACGTTGAAAAGTCTAACGAGCTCGGGGTACACGCCTGAACACGATGTTTCGGGAATCACAGATCCTTTCTTGCAAGTCAAGATCCTTCAGCTTTTCCGAGTGCTAGGGCGAGGAGACGCGGCCACCAGCGAACAGATCAACGACATTCTGGCACAAGTTGCTACCAATACCGAGTCTACCAAGAATGTTGGAAACGCCATTTTGTACGAGGCAGTCCTTACAATTCTTGACATCGAAGCTGACTCGGGTTTGAGAGTGCTGGGCGTCAATATTCTGGGGAAATTCTTGGCCAACAAAGACAATAACATTCGATATGTGGCACTTAACACGCTGATCAAGGTGGTCGCCATCGAGCCTAACGCAGTTCAAAGGCACAGAAATACCATTCTAGAGTGCTTGAGAGACCCAGATATCTCAATCCGACGCCGAGCGTTGGATCTGAGTTTCACCCTGATCCGCGAAGACAACGTACGAGTGCTGATACGAGAATTATTGGCATTTCTGGAAGTCGCTGATACCGAGTTTAAACCCGTGATGACGACGCAGATTGGCATTGCGGCAGATCGTTTCGCCCCTAACAAACGCTGGCACATCGATACTATGCTGCGGGTTGTCAAGCTGGCTGGCAACTATGTCAAGGAGCAAATTCTATCGTCTTTCATTCGTCTCATTGCCACCTCGCCTGACCAGCAAACTTATGCAGTCCAGAAACTATACGCGGCCCTGAAAGCGGACATCACACAAGAGGCTCTGACCCTGGCCGCTGTCTGGGTCATTGGTGAGTATGGTGACTCGTTACTTCGTGGTGGATCGTACGAAGAAGAAGAGCTGGTAAAGGAAGTAAAAGAAAATGATATTGTTGACCTGTACACGACAATCCTCAACTCAACATACGCAAATCAAGTGGTGACCGAATACATTGTCACTTCTGCTATGAAGCTGACAACGAGGATGTCAGACCAGTCACAAATTGAACGAATACGGCGGTTCATGAATTCCAGAACGGCGGATCTAAGCATCGAGATCCAGCAAAGGGCTGTTGAGTATAGCAACATGTTTGGTTATGACTCGATTCGAAGAGGCGTGCTGGAGAAGATGCCGCCACCGGAAATTAAAGAGGAGCAACGAGTCCTCGGGCAGTCAGCAGCGCCTGCTAAGGACAAGAGAAAGACCTTGAAAGCGAAGACAAACGTCAAGGTTGCCAAGGCGACAGAATCCGACATGCTTCTTGATCTCATGGGGGGATCGGACGTGCCTGCCGTAGACACGAGTGCTACACTGAACGGCCAACAACAGACAGCAGACTTATTGGCAGACATTCTCGGAGGTGGGAGCTCAGTTTCGAGTCCTCCAGCACAAACGAAAAGCCCTGCACCGCCCTCCAATACGGATACCATCATGGATCTATTCGGCAACGGAACTGCCAAACCCACCAGCCCTGCACCTGCTGGACCACAGGCACACCCCGCATACAATAAAAACGATTTGTCGGTTGCAATTCAGGTCTCAAGAAGTGGCTCTGCAATACAAGCTATCGCGAGGTTCAAAAATAACTCGGCGTTCGAACAGATGTCAAATGTCGGCTTGCAGGCCGCAGTACCCAAGAGTCAGAAATTGACTTTGCAAGCGATAAACAGAAGCACGCTGGGAGCCGGTGATGAGGCTACTCAAGGCATGAAGGTTGTTGCAGCGACCGGGGTAAGTTCATTCGCACTTATATCCTAGCTCATCCATTGACCACGCGAATAGCCCCTGTCCTCAAAACTCCGCCTGCGATTGAAAATCTCGTATACCAAAGATGGGCGTGCTCCGGTAACCGAACAAGTCGACTGGACGGAACCATGAAGTGTGCGAATCTTCATCTGTGTTCTTGTGCAAGCCTTAGGATTGCTCCATGAAATACTAGCCCAAAGACATTCAGCTGAATCGGCCAAAGACGTGGCTAAGCGGGCTAGGTCAAGCCTCGCAACAGCCGGCCATCGCAAGGCCTCATCATCGAGTCTAAAGACAATGAAAAGCTATTATCAACCTGACTGGGGCTTCGGCTTCAGTTTGGGCGCCTAGACATCCCAAAGCATGCGGATGCAACGGCAGCGATCAGTCTCTTGCAGAAATCGACACTCATAATTTTTCTCAAATGTGGGCGCCAACCGAGGGTACGGAAAATGTTCCGCTCAGGAGCAATGGGGCATCCCGTTTCTGCCACTCTAAAAAAAGATCTTCAGCAGGTTTCTTTCTCTTGTCCGTCTAGATCAGTTGTTGCGCACTTCCTCAGTAACCGGACCAGCTCGCCTGCCCTACTTCCTCTGAGCGGAAGGACGCCGAGGCTATTGACCCAGGCAGAGCCCACCTTACTATGATCATTCTTCCCGCCTCAAGCTATATCTTTGTGGTTTGAACAGATGTAAGGGCACTCGACGTGCATTGTTGACTACCTTTGGAATCCAACCTACGTCTATTCGTTTGGCTGATTCTCGATTGCCCTACCTACTTCCAAGAGCCATGCTACTTCCCCTTTTGACTTACGCGGTCCCCATCATCCTCGTATTATATCTCCTTAAAAACTACTTTTCTCTATCATCAATACCTGGGCCTTTCGCCGCAAGTTTCACAGACTTTTATCGCCTCCTTCTCGTCTACAACCGAAATGCCCACGAGAAACACCTTGAGCTCCACAAATATTATGGCAACCTCGTCCGCTTGGGGCCCAACTGCATCTCCGTTACAGGTTCGCAGAGTTACATCCCCCAGATCTACGGCATCGGTAAAGGCCTTGTGAAGTCCGACTTTTACAGCTGTTTTCAGAATATTGTGAATGGGCGACGTGCGGCCAGTCTTGTGGCTATGACGGATGAAAGCCAGCACGCAGAGTCAAAAAGGTTGATTGCTCATGCGTATTCATTAAGTACGCTGGTAGAATATGAGGAACTGGTGGACCGCACGACGGATGTATTTTTACAGGCCCTCGAGGAACAATTTGCCTATTCTTCGCTTTCGCAGAAACGTGTGCTTGACCTGGGACGCTTTCTACAGTTCTTCGCCTTCGATGTCATTGGGGAACTCACCTTCAGTCGCCGGTTGGGGTTCATTGAGTCTGGTATGGACGTGGACGATATCATCAAAGCTATCGGAGCGAATTTCTCCTACTTCAGTGTCCTCGGCCAAATGCCTTGGCTGGATGAAGCTGTCTTAGGAAAGAATCCATTATACATAAGGTATTT